ACCCGACCCGCCTAGGCGCCCAGACCCGCCCAGGCCGCCTAGGCAGATTTTTCGAACACTGCAAACCACAGATATTAATCAAGTTTCTTCCTTTCTCTTATAACTCTTCAACAGCATTTCACAGAAACCCAATTGAGCAACAGAACAGAACGGAAACTAGAATCAAACATAAAAAAATTTCTTCATTCAACAACCCATTAAATTTAAAATAAATAAATAACAGTAAACAAGAATTAAAAATTGATCAGTCAGCGGAGAGAGAGAGAGAGAATACATGAGGTGCTGCAATTGTTTGAGTGAATCCAAGTCCTGAGCATCGACCAGTGTTTTGAATTCATTTGATACCTGTTCTGATGCTTCCCTTGTCGCTTCCTTCCCCGTCTGCTCCATCACCTTCTACTCTTTTCCCACTCTCTTTCTCATCAATGGGGGTGGAAGAGCAAGAGAGAGAGAGAGAGAGAGAGAGAGAGAGAGAAAGACAGAGAGATTTTGGGTTCATGCAACTGCTAGCCCATCTGGGTAACTAGGCCTTACTTTTGTCTTTGGTTTGAGAAGTGCACAGTCAACACAAAGTGAGCCCATCCCATAAAGTCGAGCAACCCAACTACAACCAATTTGGGTTGAAAATCTAAAGCCACAATCTTTAAGGGTTAAGGGGTTGGCAGACAAGACCTTTGCCTTGGGTCTTTTTTGGAGAAAGTCCAAGGATTGTGGGCCTGATCAATATTTTTTTATTTTATTTTTTATTTATATCTATATAAAAAATAAAAATAAAAAGCAAGATAATGTGGCTCTTTTAAACTATTGATCTAATATACATGATTTGAATTTTGGATTTTGGTGTCTCAACTAAATAATTCTCTTAAATAGTCCATCAACTCTTTATTATCCGGTAAATTAGTCACACCATCTAATTTTCTGTTAAATTTAATCATATTAGAGCACATGCTTCATTTTTTAGAGTAAATATAACTTTTCATAATAAAAAAAAGTAAAAATATGTCTTTAGAAATTTCTTTTGAACCCAACTCATTCACAAGACTTGAAAAAATATTTTAAACTGATAGTAATAAGGACCAGCACTTGAAAGAAGAGACATTTGTAAAAGTTAATGAAGTCTAAGGACTGATGTTCATAATCACCAATTAATCACCCAAAAAAATAGCTTACATGCAGTCTTTGCTGGCATATTCAAAATGCTTAGTATGAACCCCAAAAATTCAGACTTGTTGGTCAAACACTAAACCCTAGAAAATTTGTGGACAAACAAACAAACAGTCATGAATTCTACATTAGATATTTCCCAAAACCCACCCTGCAAAACCTCAACGATCCACAATATCCCATTCTTCTTCCAACAAACAAAAGAATTAACAAAACACAAAAACCCACCTCATTATCGTAACCTCTTCTGCACTGCATATATCTTCCATCAAAACAGCAAACTCACACACTCCCCTAAAATCCCTAATCATCCAAAACCCATTTCACAAAAACAAGGAAACTCCAAAGTCCAAGCCCCCCACCCCACCAGTCAAAGTTTCAAACCACACCCTAATAACCAGTAATTAAAACACTCTGAAAATATATCAGGCCATGATAGTCTATGCCAACCCTACTAAATCTTAAAGAGCCTGCAGATTAGATTAGATTAAGATCTCTATATATAATTTCTTCCACAGTCAAACAAGCAAAACCCAGTAACCCTAGCTAGGTGTCTGTACCATTAGAGAAATGAAAACCCTAGAGCTATAGCTAGGGTTTTGGAAAAGCTAGAGATTTTTGCACTTTAATATTTCTGTATTTTGCACTGATCTTTTTTGTTGTTGGGAGAAACCAACAGTGCCATAAAAAGGATTCAAAGGGCACGCTTATGTTGAAAGTCTGAATCTACCCACCTGAAAATAAAATAAAAAAGGCTCAATATTTTAATTTTAAAAAACAAAATAAGCATGAGATTATAGTAATTGGCAAAAGTGGAAACCAGGGGTGGGTGTCTCCATGCGGGAACAGTTGCTTTATTTTACTCTGCACCAAAAGATAGAGAGATCATATCATAAATAGCACCATTAATTAATCTTTACCCGTAATGGATTTAAATAGAGTTCGTCAA